TCTCCAACCACCTTCTGCCTGTGGTGCAACTCGGGCCTGGTCAGCCAAATACACTTGGCCCATCCACCCCCACCGTGGACTTGTTCTAATTTAAAAGGGAGTTGGTCACACACAATCAGTTTATCTCCGCTAGTAAAAGTCTCCTCACTTACTCCAAGTCCTACCAATGTCTGCTTCTTGCAAACCTAATTCGCAGCCTCCTGTCAGAGTGACACAGGTCCGGATGACCGAGGGCGATGGGAGCAGGTGACACACTTTCAGGATTTGTGAACCCGCTCGCTGGGCACCAAGTCTGCGCAGCAAGGCGGTTGCCGTGTACCTTCGGAGCCCCGCACGTGTCCCTGCTTTCAGGAAGGCACTCCTGCTCTCTTGGACAGGCCCATGAGAACGTGTCTCCCACGACCAACTCGAGACAAAGACTCGGCCTGGGCGGCCATCCGGGTGATCCGGCAGGGCTGGCGGTGGCCTGAAGACGGGCCCGCAGGGTCTCAACTCAACGTGACTCCTCACCCTCGAGGCTGGCGGCCCAGGAAACCAGGGGGAAGTTCTTTCATCGACTCGGCAGCACATGCAGCAAAGCCAGGCGAATTGTTCACATGTGATCGCTCTCATTTAGCAACGACATGAAGGGCATCTGTGCTCACAGGGTGTGAAGCGGTGCTTTAAGGAGCGCGATCAAAGGAGAGAAAAGGCACTGATGGGCACAACAGACAAGTGGCGTAGGGCCACCCAGCCCCGTGGCCGTTGGGTGGGCGGCCAGAGGGAAGGTCCATTGCTTGTTTGTGTGTGTGGTGCCTCTTTTAAAACCCAGCACAGTGCAGATGAAATTTACAGCCGCATAAACCAGCACACTAACTTTATAGCTTCAACCATTTATACTGCTTTGGTTCGCTAATTTTTTTTCACATACCTTTTATGTTACAGTCTCTGTTAACTTTTGTACACATTTCTTATGTCAGGGTTCTGGAGGTAAACACCATCCAAAAAAGTCATGGTTAGGAATATTATCTCCAATAAATGATATGCAATGAGTACAAAGACCTGCCTCTTTCATGAGATGAAAGGAGAAAAAATACCTTGTTAAAAAATGTCATATGCTCACAGTCCAATCCTTTCCTCTGAGAGCCTACAGAAGGCCCTCCTGCATGAGGTCTCTATCTGTCTCTCAGTCTCATCCATCCGTCCATCACCTCTCTTCACAAAGGAGAGGGCCTGCGCGGAGAAGAGGGTGGAAAGGAGGGTGTATGTTTGAACCTTCATCCCCAAATCCCCATATCTAGGATGGCAGCGAATAATAAAACCTAAGCATGACAAAGAGGGAGGCAAGGAGGGAGCCAGAATACGTTCATGCACACCAGGCAGGAACAGAACAAACTACTCTAAAATCAAACTACAAAGCTCACCTTGTTTACATGAGAAGAATCCAAAAAACAAGTGAGCAGGCACAGTGACATGAACATCAGACGAGACTGAATCAGATTAAGCAGCACTTATCCAGAATGAACATCTAAGGCGAATGGGTGTCTGTTTACATACGGCATCTCCAGCCTCTGAGAAAGGAGGGCCGGACATTCCAGGAGAAGAGATGCATGCAGTGGACATGGCGGGCCTTTGATCTCACCACTGGCCCCAGGGCAGCATGTAGACCATGAGGCAGCCAGTACATGAGCCGCGCTGCCCAGTGAGGAAAGGGAGGGGAGCTAGCGTACATCAAACAGGGCACCCAAACACACAGACTAGACCTTTCTGGATGCTTTATGGCAGTTCTCAACCTGTGGGTCTCAGCCCTTTTGGGGGCCAAACGACCCCTTCACAGGGATCGCTGGATTCAAAACAGTAGCAAAATGACAGTGATGAAGTAGCAATGAAAATAATTTTATGGTTGGGGGTCACCACCACATGAAGAACTGTATGTATTAAAGGGTCATGACATTAGGAAGGTTGAGAACCACTGCTTTACCGGGGAGGGAAAAGTGGAATATTAAGGCATACGAGAAACCGCAAATCCCACATGGAATCCCAACTCCTTAGCAATGACGGTTGCGGCCATCAACACGAGTGGATTACGTAGGGACGACAAATGGAAGTCTCTATCACACCCATGGCACTGGCTCCAAATATCTTGCTCCCTAAAATCCACTGCACAGACCCCCACCCCCCATGAGAAGTTTCAATTCAGAGAGTCTAAGCACATTGAGAAAATATCCCAATTGAATCTCTTCATTGAGCAAATTTAGAAAAATTTCCTTTGGGTGTATGAGGTGGGAGAGGTAACAACTACAGCAGTGCTGAGAGGAAAGTTCATAGTCCTAACTCTGCATTAATAAAAAATAAAATTTCAATGTCCAACAGACACCAAAAAATAAGGTTAGAAGGAAAGACATAAACAAAGAAAACAGAAGGAATGAATTTGTGGAAGTGGAGAATTGAAATTAGGAAAAAGACAACTAATGCTACCATGGCCTGCTGCTTTGAGGGAAATTAAAGCATGCGATAAACCACGCTGAATTCCGTTAATAACACTTGACACAATCGCCCCAGTGATGGGCTCAACACACCCATGTTGATGAAGACAGTACAGGAGAGGGCAACAGTGCGCCACTCAATTCCCGAGAGTCGGAGCCAACCCCGCCCGCAGCAGCCAACAACAATCCAGTGGAGGAAAAAGGCTGCACGTGAGCATGTCCTATCCAAGTCCACCCTAATCCAGCGAGGTCCACTTGGGAATAGAGGGATACCAAGAGTATCCTTAGTGTCCTTGGGAAGCTAAGGACGGTTTGATACCAACAACCCTAATGACCCATGTCACCACATTGAGGGGTCAGAGGGTAGGGTGATGATTGCCAGAGGTGCTAAAAAGACACTGGGTTACCTACCTAGTTTACTCTGTCAGCCCCTGGGCTGGTCACCTAGTTCTGCCTTACCAAAAGCATACAAGTGAGCGTGTCTCAAGAGCAAAAATGGACTCACCGTTCAGGAGGGTGGACATCTGAATACACTTGTCGCCATCTCTGTCCCCAGGTCCCCTTGTGCCCAGTCTTCTCAGCCTCCAAGAACTCAGAAGTGAGGTTTAAGGACACTTTCTGCTCGGGTTGGGCCTCATACATGCTGACAAAGGAAGGGGGTTGGGGAGATAACATGAGACAATTCATAACAATTCAAAACATTTAAAAATCTGAATAAGAAACCAGCGGTCTTAGAGGTGATTGTTCGTGGGATAGCAAATTCACAAATACATAGCCGTACTTTCTAGGTCGTGGTTTTAGGCTAAATTAAGCTCCATGACCCAAGATCTACCTCTGTCCTACTCACATGTCACAGCCATGCCAGGTGGCCTCGGCCCATCTCTGGGGGGCCCTGGGCTGCCGGAACAGCTTTCAGACGCCCCAGAAGCTAGAGTGGCATGGTGAAGGGCAGCGCCACATGGGGAGGCTTGGGACCTTGGCTCCCAAGGGACAAGCGCCATCCCTACTCACCTGGCACTCACACACAGCAGGCACGTCCCAGAGGGTCAGGTTGGGAATGTGCTCTGACGAAATTCAGAGGGGTCTTTTAAATCCCATCTAGCCAATGCAGAGGGACACTCGCTTATTCAGAAGGTGGAACACCACGGCAAACACTGCAGTACTCCCGTATCCACGGACGGGACTCTTATCCGCCCTGGAAACCCTTTTCCTCAGCGGGGATTCCAGACACTACAGCTGAAGACCGCCAACATCGGTGCCATCGCCCGGGGCGCCTTTTCTCCATACCCTCCCTCAGCGCTCTACCAGCTTCAAGTACCTGCTCGCCGGTCTCCCACACAAACAGACCCCTGTGGCCAGTCTTCTGGCCAGCACCGGTCAGTGGAGACGCACAATGGATGTGTTCCACTCGTCCAGGCTGGGGAGCTGTTTTCATTCTAGAACACCATTCTCAGGCCACGCTGGTCAAACACTTAGCTCGGCCCCGAGGTGAGGGCTGGCACGGCTTCTCTTTAGTGGACGTGTTGTGTTAGCCACCGGGGTTGATGGTTTTGAGGGCTTTCTAGGGCCCTCAAGCCAGTCATTGCCCTCCCCCGCACCACTGACTTTCTGGGCCAACTTCTAAAGCCCCACTACCCCACACTGGTGGCTTTTGGCTGCCACCCACAGGCGTGGCTGCAGGTCCCTCGTACATGTCTGTAAATGGCAGGTCAACACCCAAACGCTCGGCTGGAGAGGAAACGCTGCCTCCCGGCAAAGGCAGCCCTTGGCCCATGGCTGTGTCTTCCACCGTCCAGTCTGGGGCTGCGTATGTTCAAACACACTCTCCGCCAGGCTCCGATCTGACTGAGCAGAGACGGCACGCGGGGCTTGGACTCAAGGCCAAGAGCCGAGGAGGGAACTTTCGGAGGTGCCAACCTCCAGCAAGGGCGCAGGCCTGGCCAAGCCCACGGCAGGCCGGACGCGGGGCAGCGAGGTCAAAACAAAGCACAGGCAGGAGAGGCAGCTTGAGACCAGCTGGGGGGCCAGGGGCGGGAGGGCTGGCGTGGATGTTGGTTGTGATGCCCGTCCATAAATACTAACTTTCCTAACTTCAAAAAGCACGTGAGCATAAGGTCTCCCATCTGACAGACACCCAGTGACACCCCCACCACCACACACACTTAGGTAAAAAGATGTATTTCAAAGTGGGAACAGTTGCATGTTACAATAAAGTCACTGTGAATCTTCATCTAAATAAAAAATCAAACCGTTGCCCTCTGAGGTGGGGGCTCTTCGCGCGGCCTGTGGCCCTCCAGCTGTGTTCTGCTCCCAGTGCCTCAGCGCTCAGCAGGTGGACTTCTTCAGCGTCTGCTGCCTCTTCCTTTCTTCCAGTAAGGAGACTACGTTCTAGACAAATGGAGCAGGCAGGGGAAGGTGACCCTCGGGCTGGCGGGCTCTGCAGGTGCTGAAAGGTACTACGGGGTTAGTTCGGAAAGGTGAAGGTCCCAACCTGTCTGTCAAACACTCTGGCCATCTCGAGGACACCTTTGCCAAACTGGAAGAGACAAGAAGAAGGAAGGAAAGGGCAGGCGGGATGTTGTTTATCTGTACTGACACCCACACGGGCATCTCCAAGGATGTGTGGGACAGCCCCATTTTCATTCTATTTTTCTGACTTCCCAAAGGGAAGTGTGTCTGTCTGTCTGTCTGGGAAGAGGGGGTCATCTACCTCGTTTTTCACGCCTGCATCCGCCCCTTTGTCCAGCAGCAGCTGCACCAACTCCTCGTGGTTATTTAGCACGGCCACCTAGAAGGCAAAGGGGGAGGGGTGAGCCGGCCGGGCCCAGGAACCTTGCAGGGACAAGCACGTGGCCTGCAGGCACCACAGCCACACTGCTGTGTGCTGTGTGGCCACAGCCCGCCTCTCTGCGTGAAGATGTGGGACACATGCAGAGGGCGGCCCCTCCTTTGTTTTCACAGGTCTGTTGGCCCGGGGCTGGGGCCAGAAACCCCTAGAGAGAGAGTTGCCAATGGGCAGGGACAATAATTCTCACGAAGCCATAACAGGCCAGTGGGGACAAGATTACAACCAGACCCCAGGGCTGCTCCAATTCCCCAAGATTGTCTCCTGATAGGAAAATAAAAAATCTCTGCCTTTACTCCAAACCCAGCCCCAGGCCATCTTCGGGAGGAGGACATACCATCAGCGGGGTCTTCCCATCCTTGTCTTTCACGTTCACGTCCGCTCCAGCCTCGATCAGGAGAGAGGCGACATTCTGGTTCCCGGATACCGCGGAGATTCGCATGAGGGGCGTCCATCCCAAGCCAGTGTCCACCACGTCTACCTGGGAGGCCGGGCCGAGAGCCACTCTTAGCTCTGTTTCCCCCCCTTAAAATTATGCCCCTTAAACCTAGAAGGAGGGTCTGCCTGTCCAAATCCCCCTGGACGGGAGTGGGCAGCACTATACTCTCAGGGTCCACACATGTAGATGCAGTGAGAAGATCCATGGGGACCACGTTTAGAGCATGGGGCTCCCCCAGGCTTCCTCATTCCTATGCAGCAGAGGGAAGGTGGGAGAGAAAGTACCGTGAACGTAATCACCGAGTCTCAGCTCCTGGGAAACTGGCCACTGCTGTTGCCGCCGCCGCAGTCGCGGCTGCAACCTCACCTCACTTCCTGCCGTTTCTTGGGCTTGCCTGCCCATCTCCTAACCCTTTCTGTAGTCAGGGAAGCGGCACACACCGTATACTCACCGATACGGAGCCACTTGGGAGACTGACCACTGGCTGCAGGGCCCACGCTCCACTCTGACACGATAGCCGGTCCAGCACCCTCTCACTGACACAGTGGGTCCAGTAACCCAGTGGCCACCTCCCGGGAGCCCACTCTGCAGCAGGACCTCCCGGAATGGTGTCAAGGAAGAGTTCGCCAACCCAGGAAGAGTGGGGTTGAAAGACACACCCCAATTCTGACCCACAACCTGCTTCTGTTGGTCTGGAATTCCCAGCGAGCGGCTGCCTCGAGGGGCTTGGGGCGTGCAGTGGGTTGTGTGTTTGAGGTCCCCTCCTCCTCGTGACACTGGGCACTTGTCACTCTCTGGCCCATAGGCCGCAGCCCACTAGGTGTGGAAAACCATCAAATCCTTTTGTCACCTCTAGTGCTGTGCACGTTTCCCCCTGGCTTTGGCACACAGAGTCTCTGAGTCCAAGGGGAAGCAGGGATACAGGTTTTCCCCTGTGGTTTCCAATGAACCGGATCGCTGAGATGGCAAACTCCCTTCCCGAGGTCACCTGGCTCATTGACTAAGGAAGTGGTTCTCCCCTGACCGACGACAGCCAGCCACACTCAGCGTTACAATCGTGCTAAGTGGTAGGGGGGCCCAGGTCTTCCACAGCCATTGGGGAGTCCATGTGGATGTCACCTGTCCCCGCTCAGCAGTCAAAGCGGGCACATCCAGGCCTATACTGTCCCCTGCACACTAGCTCCAGCACACTGCGGCCATTCCGAGGTCACCCACCTCTGAGCCCACAGGACCTGTCTCCTCCCACTCCCAACACCCAGTCTTCTGTCCTCTTGACAATGGCTCACCTTCACTATCTACTAGACCCCTTGCCTGGGACCAAGAGATGATCAGGGGTCACCATAAAGAATGGCAGCCCAGCTGCGGCTACCACCGGTCACCAGTGTGGCCCAGCTGGCCGAGAGGACGGCCGATGGTCTTCTTCGGGCCTCTGTGCCTCTCTCTGACATACACCGTTTGAGAGCCACATGAGAATCATGGTAAAAATGAATTTTCTCAATGGCGGAGATGTTTCACTCCAGAGAGCCTATAGGTCCCCGGCTCCCCCTGGGGCAGCAGTCACCCTTCAGAGACAACCCGAAAGGACCCCAACACCGGCCAGGACATAGGCCTGGCTCCAGAGTCCAGTGTTCTTCCCAGGGGCCCCCTGCCCTGGCAGCATGCTGTCCGTCACACCTGGCCTGGGGCTGAGGTTTCTCTTGTACACCTGGAAGGTCTGGAAACCCGTGTTCAGAGTTCTTCCCCATGACCATACAAGGGCCACTGGACAGGACGGTCAGAGCAGCCCCACCGGGATCTTGGGAGAGGCCGACCGCCATATCTCTCCTGAGGAGTGCAGCTGGGTTCAGACTACTGACCTCCGGGCTGGCAGCCAAGCAGCACTCCAGCTACTGTGTCACCAGGACACCACTAGTTCTACATGCCCACCTCTTTACACATCACACAACGCCACACCTGCGTGACAACAGTCAGCCTGACTCGTTGGGGTGGGAGTGGGGAGGTCCCCCTCAAGGGAGGGAGGAGCCCTGGCCCCACAGGGCTCTCCCACGGGGTTCCAGAGGTGGCTCACTGGGCGGGCCCTGCTTTTGAGCTGCCTCTGGGGGAACTCGACCCTGAACCTCTCGGTTGGTGACCGAGTTCATCGACACTCACACACGCCCCCGCCCGTGGCTCCCGGGGACCCCTACCTCACAGCCATCCTGGACCATCCACTCGATCACTCTGCAGTGACCTCCGTCTGCCGCCCAGTGCAGAGCCGTGCAGCCTCCTCGGTCTCGGCTGTCCCAGGAGGCGCCGTGCCTTCGGAGGTACTTCACGACGTCCAGGTGGCCCGCGTAGCAGGCCAGCATGAGGCTGCAACACAGGAGCGCCGGCACTGGACGGGGAGCGCAGGGGGCCCAGTGGTCAGCCCGCTGCCTGGCCGCCAGACTCAGCTCACGCCTGCCGCCACGCTGCTGGGCGAGGGGCCAAGTCGATTTTGATACTCAGGTGGACCCTTGTAGGTGGACTCTGCAGGACAGAACTGCCTCCCGGGAGCCCCCCCTTGGATGCCATCTTGATGGGAGCTGACTGCCAGCCCCTTTTCTGGGGCCACGGGGTGGATTCCAGCCTTCCACCTTTGGGGTCAGCTGTCCCACTTCTGCTCCTGCTGTGGAAAAGTTCAAGCTTCTCGTCGGCTGAACCCCGGAAAGCAGGGCCGACTCACAGCCAGAGCCGGCACGGGAGGGAATTCATTCCCTGACTCAGTTTTTAATTTCCTGCATGGATGTTGGCCGTTTTAAAGTGTCTGCTTCTGGGGTCAATTTTAGTGATTTTTTTTTTCTTCTTCAGAAAGTATTGTTTCAATTAAATTATTGCATCTCTTTATAAGAACAGCTTCATATCTGGTGTTGGGGGGGGACATTAACAGACATCTCTTCCCAATCATTCTGATTTCTAATTCATCAATTTCTGTGTTTTTTCCTATATGCCTCTGTGTTGTTCATTTTCCTGCTTTCTAAGTTGATTGCTTAGGTCTACCTTGATCAAAGAGCTGGTACGAGTTGCTTAGAAAATGGCATATTCATTTAGAAGTGGTGTCCAAACCGTTTCTTGTTTCAATCTACTTTTGCCTGTGTGCAGGGAGGGTGTCGCTGCCTATGCTGACTCATGCCACCCTATAGGACAGGGTCGACCTGTCCCTGAGGGTTTCCGAGGCTGTAACTATTTATGGGAATAGAAAGCCTCATCCTTCTCTCATGGAGCATCTGGTGTTTTCAAACTTCTGACCTTGTGGTTAACAACCCGACTCGGGACCACAAAACCACCAGGGGACGTGGGCGGAATCTCCGCTCTCATAAGTGGCCGTGTGCAGCACCTGCGCGCCCCGCTCCACACCTCCCTGGCCTGCAGTGCACATACCTCAATCTGCAGCGAGGTGCAAGCTCGCTGCACAAAGGCTCTGCATTCTGCCCGCCATCCTGCTCAAGACCAAGCCCCGTGCATTAAATCTGTGAGGCCAGTGATGATCCTGTACGAAAACCTCGTGCAGCGTCTGGAAACATTCTTACAGTGACAAACAGCCTACAATGGCTTTCCTGTTTGAGGATGGTTTCCTTTGTCCTTGTGATTCATGAACTCTCGACCAGGTTCCCGGGGCTCTCTCATCAGCTTC